TTGTTGCACAACGTACAAGGTTCGGTTAGATCTTAACAGGTCCCGTTCCCTCCGAAGAATCGAAAATAAATGGCAAAGGTGAGGCCCAAAATTCAGCAATAACGCAACAACAAACACAAAACCATTTTTGTAGTCAAAATTATACTAATTTCATATTTACACAATAATCGCCCCATCAACAGACTATGCGGCAACAGCAGTCAACGTCCACCCAGATCCTAACACAGACGCAAACAGCGATTCAGTCACAGTTGTAACCTCAGTCGCAGTCACAGCCTCAGCAACAGCCATTACCACAGCAGCATCAACAACAACAACGGCAGCAGTGAACGCAGCGTGAAGCACAGCGCACATTTCGTCACCCATGGCGTCCAGCCCAATGGTGACAGCGCAATAACAACAACTTCAGCATCAAACGCTGCAAATCCACAACAGCCCCCAACACCGACATCAACACCCTCACATCATTTGGCTAACATTCTGAACGAAACAGCTATCTCGAAGGGCTCTTCCACATTGGCCGTGGTGGCTAACGACATCAACAACAGTTCGACCCACAGAATTGCCAACAATCAGCCCACTTCAGTGCATGACGGTAACACGCAAAGCTCTGACCAACGATGCCTCTCCCGCATACCACACGCCCAAAATCGAGCCAGACTCGAGTCGTCTCGCCGACTTCGGCGTGCTGGTAACTTCCTTTCGGATTGGCGGYATGGCAACGATCGACTGAGACCCCATTCGTCTCAGCGACCCCATCCGAAGCGAAGGCGTGGACGAGACACTCGTCGTCAAGCCGATGCACGCCGTATCATCAAGGACAGGCACGCAACACAACCTTGGCAACAAAGAATGGCGCTATCACCAACCGCCTTAATAAGTGTTCGAACTGCGACGAGGTTCGTAACAGTGCGGGCCATGATTAGCCCAGTCAGTCCAGCCACTGTTATCCTCGCCTCCACGATTGCACGTTTGCGACTGCGTACGAATGCACGTTTAGACAGCCGAGTGTGCGAACTAATGTTTCGGGACAACCAGGGTGGAGAAACAGAAATCTCCGTGAGTGCCCAAATACAACGTCGTCCGTTACCACCTACGCCGGTAAAGTCTCTGGAAGACCATTTATTTCAACAATTCCGCAACCTAAGACTGGCGGATAACGAATGCCACAGGGCAGCGCCAGTCGAAGTAATCTTGGGAGCGGACGTTTACCGACTCATGTTGCCCGGGTTACAACCAGCAGCAATGGGCCAACTCATCGCCCAAAACACCTGGGATATATAATATCCGGTGGCGTATAATATCGGTACCATAAAATACACTGGCTGCCAACACCTCTCACATTTACCGCCTACCCAGGATGGAGTTACACTCGAGTCGTCTGCAAAGAAGACAAGGAAGAGGAAATGCAGGAGCCAGTTAGTTAAGTTAGTTTTAAGTAACCTATTGTAAACTGCATTTGCAGTAATACTGCAAGGCGGGGAGAATATTGAAGCCGCCCCCGTACAATTTCCTTTGCTCTGCCAATACAGACGTGGTAAGTGTTGTTCCAAATTTTTATAATTAAATATTTTTATTATATGAAACTTTTTGTTTGTATTTAATATTCTGTGGAATCATTTGCGCCGTCCGTTTCCTTACGGCCAACCACATCTATGGAACGAGCGAGCACCGTGCTCCACCACCCGAATTATCACTGGTATTTTCTTACGAACACTAGGCCATTATGTTGGCTTACCAGGAAATATTATTTCAAGGTTATTGTGCCTATTTATAACAGTTTGATACAGCTGTCGTCCTTTCGGATTAATAAGACATGAGCCCCAGTACGTGTGTTTTAACAACTGTGGTGGTTACTGCAAAATTATGCGGTTTCTGTGATGCCTCTGAAAAGGTTTATTTCGCAACAGTCTACATATGCACTCACTATGATAGCAAAATAGCTTCACATCTTTTGGTAGTTAAAGCTAAAGTTGCACCTTTGAAGATACTAAGCCTTCCATGGCTTGAACTATTAAATTCAAGACCTATATTACCACTCTCGCAAGATCTCTCCGACTTCACAGCCTTAACTTCAGGTCATTTTCTCAAAAGAGTACCCATTCTGGGCACAACAGAGCCAGGCGTGGAGTCGCTATCCTCATTAAACAGATGTGAGGGAATAAAAATTCTCCATCATGATTTYAGCCGCCGATGGAAGGAAGACTATATAAAAAACCTTCACAAGAAATATTCAAAACTCAAGAAAAGGCACCAAAGTTTGGAGGCATTCAGCCGGTGCGGCCCTCTGCAAAAAAATCCCGTCCCTGGTGCCAAATCCGTGCCACATCAACACGGCGCCATCAGCTTAGGCCGGAAACCCGGCGGTTAGCAGCGTTGTAGCTATGATACAGAAGCAACAGCGCCTTCTAGGCTAAATATTCGCCTAGGGCCGGGATGGCTAAATGAGTAGCGACGTCACATCACATTCACATCAGTTCACCACACCGAATCAAAAGTACGCATTCACCTCATCCCGYGAGAGAACACTACACATTAACACACACACACGTACATGCCAAAACACGATGACACCATTCAGCATACTAATTAAAATAAAACGGAACGAGAAAGGATCTCGCGCACCTTTTGTCGATACGACGCCGATCGATATACACCGTCGCTTTTCGCAGCATCCCGGTTCCCTTTCGCTACTACCCGCCTGTATATATATAATATATATTTAACGTTTTTAAAACTATTTCAATTTGTAATAACTTTCACCATTTAAACAAATTTGTAATAACAATTTGGAAGTGCATTTCGCTTAAAATGGAAGTTTTATAACGATTCTTCGGAATATAGTGCATTTTTCCTTTTAACAGAAAGTGTGAGTGGCCTATTAGATGAGTTTCTGTACACTACCTGTTTCTATTCTCTTAATTCTGGTATCCTTCTTTGTAGTTCAAGATTTATATCTTTACAGTGTATAGCCATTTTAATGGCTGATGATCTGTTAACAAATTAAGTTGGACCGAAGTATGTCCGGAAGTAGCTTGTGGCCCAAACAATCGCTAACTCTTTTTCTGTTGTACAATAGCTACATGCATGGTTGTGTTCTGCTCGCATAAAATGCAGGATGTCCATTTTGTTGTAGTACGGCACCGATTGCGAAATTGCTTGCATCAGTAGTTAATGTTGTAATGTCTTATTGAAATTTGAATAACTTATTACTGGGGCATCTGTCATTATTTGTTTTAATTTTAGAAATGAGTTTATGTATGTAAAGACATTAATTTTAACATTTTTCTTTTGAAAATGTGTCATAGGTTGTGTTACTTTTGCATAGTCCTTTATAAATTTTCGATAGATCCTGTAGCTAATGGAAAAGACTTTATTTGTCTTGTTGTAGGATCAGGAAGAACGTAATTAAATTGGAAGAGGAAGTAGAAAATTGAAAAATTGTCACGTTGGTGGTCAGCAATGGACTATATAATCTAATGTAAATGAAATGTAATTAGGTACAATGATTAGACTTATGCTAATATTTTCGATGGATGTCCATATGCTCGCACATGCGAAAAAGGCACACAAAAGGAGTGACAAAAAATCTCGGTGTTACGTTGTTGCGAACATATTGCATGTCTACATACAGTCTCGTTCGCTTGATTAGAGGCAACAATTTTTGTGAAAGAAAATATTGATTAAAGTTTCTATATTTGATCTTTCGACAAATAGTTTTCTACTAACTCAAGCTAAGACTGTACTGTTTAAAAATACAAACAAATCGAAATATTATTTCACTAACGGTATTTCGTAGCGGTAAAAGTTCGGCAGCTGCAATATTCTGCTTGATTCATTGGTTCACTTGAATAGAGGCACTTACAAATTTAGAAAAAATATATAAATAGATACAAGAACAAAGTTTTTTAACCATTATTTTTAAAAGATTAATATTTTGTGCTGCCACCTTGTTTGTAAATTACTTCATAAACACGTTGGGGAATGGGTTTGTACACACTCTCGAGATAGACTAGCGAAATTTCAGACCAGGCCGCTTTAATGCTTCGAATTAAATCAATTTTGTATTCAAATTGTTAGATGAAATAATATGTCGATGTGTTTGTATTTTTAAACCAGTACAGTCTTAGCTTGAGTTAGCAGAAAACTATTTGTTGAAAGATCAAATATAGAAACTTTAATCAACATTTTCTTTCACAAAAATTGTTGCCTCTAATCAAGTGAATCAGACTGTATGCAGACGTGTGTGTAGACAAATGAGTTATGTGGGAACATTGGGTCTCATGCATAAAAACGAGTAAAAGCGCTGAGTTGAGTCAAGTGAGCAATTGCTCGTAAGTCGAGTTCGATCAAACAGCAACAGCTCTTGCTCAATTTCGTATGCATAAAAATGAGTTCAAACCAATTACAATTACTTGAGCAAACGGAGATCAAACCTCTAAATTTTTTGAAGTGCAAACATGTCGTCAAGTGGTAGTGAATTTGAGGTAGAGCTAAAA